AAAAAAAAAAAAAAAAACAGTTGCCTATCACATGGCACCCTGCAAACTGGTTATCAGCCGGCGGCACTAATCAGCATTGCGTCGTCCTTAGACATTAGTGCTAGCAACAGCGCGACCAGCTCACGGGGATGGAGTCTGTACAAGCTCATCAAATTCTATGACGATCAATGCATGCTAGTAACTGACAAGTGCAGAAAGCCTTCAAGCAGCATTACGCTGCGCTTAAACAGCGGGAGCAAAACTGCTAAAATTGTCTATCACTGGAAATTGCACGTGCAAAGCTATGCAACGATCAAGTCATAGTACGTCCAGCTACTTTTCGTGGCCTTCCCACTAAATGCCAAGTCGCACTTGGAGGACACACCGTATTGTTGCTGGTCGTGTTGGCTGTCACATTCGTGGAGGCATTGGATGCATTGGATGCAGCAGGGGCCGTCTCCTTTGCTGTGTGATCCTGCAGTCACTGACATTCAGCCGGCAGCAGAAAACAAAACCACCTACTCAGGTGGTGTTAACAGCTAGTTTCCAATCCCTCTTTTTGTTGCACAAAGTTGGACCAAGAGCTTTGACAGCATCAGTAGTTCCAGCTGCTGGCTGATGCAAAGCCGCTAAACATGGATGCAAGCTGATTCCAGGCAAGAGCTGGATGATTCTGTTAGTTCAAGGTATGCTTGCTGTGACATCTGCCTTGGAGATACAGAGACGAAGACACGATGGGAACAGCTTCTCCCGACCGGCCACAGAACTAGAAGAGCAGCGCAAAGGAAAGTTGAAGGCTTCAAGCCAAGAAAGCAATGGGCCTGGACAGGGTAGCTTGCCCCAACTGCCATTCGGGGCACCTGACCGCAAGACAATAGCACTAAACCTAACTGAATGGAGTCAGTTCAAATAGCTCACGACGGTCTGTTTGCTCATTTAGGAATTTGGTGAACCATCTGAGGCCGCAACTGGCGGCGTTCCTTGAAAGGATGCCTGAGACTCCCACAATGACTGAATCACACTCTGAAAAATGCAATCCCATTCCATCGAGCGACGCTTGTCGTAACTTGCGATGGCCCCTCCACAATCGGGTTTGCCGCCTCAGCAAGCAATGCAACTGACAACACCCTGCGCATGTGAAATCAG